CAAGTCCAGGGACGAACAGCACTTCTTGTAACCAAACTGAGGTTTGAACTCCTTTGGCATTCTCGACTTCAATCTCAATCTCACCGGTTCCAGTGGCCTCTATAATCCCTCCGTTTGCAATACTAATTTGGGCATTACAGGAGCGAAAGTTTCGAAATAGCTTTCGTTCCGCACACATGTGATGGGTAGCACCAGAGTCGAGTATCCAGGTCCCCTCACTTTGGGCTGGGTTCTCTGCCGCTGTCGCAGTCCAAGCATGCATCCCTTTATCTCGAGCGTCATTTGCCCCTCTTGCCTCTTCTTTTATCTTTTTAGGACAGCTCCTGGCCCAATGGCCTTTCTCATAACAATAGAGGCAACTGTCCTTATCCAACCGATATGACGAGCCTTGTCTTGCTCCCCGTCCCTGACGGTGAAATCGCCCCCCCTCAGGCCTAGCCGGAGTTGGGTTTCCAGAAGGTTTTCCACGTCCACGTCCTCGTCCGGATATGTTTCGTGTCGAATAAAATGCTCCACTAGAGCTTGGTGTTCCCGTGCCACCCAGTGGTTTTCCCTCGTCTCTGATGAGTTGTTGATATTCCAAAATCAGGCGATCGCAGACATCATCATATGAGATATCCTCGAGGTTCGGGGTATTCGATATTGCGGTACGGAACGGATGATATTGGATCGGCAGATGTGAGAGTAGAATATAGACCTTGTCTTTTTCACTCTGCTTCTCACCTGCACCTGCCAGCTGATTGAATAGCTTTTCCAACTTTGTAATGTAGTCAACTATTGGCTCATTACAGTACTTTACTTGAGAGACTTCACCTCGTAAGTACCAGATTCTTGCTTGATCCTTGCCTGCATATCTTCCTTCAAGCTTTATCCATACCTTATGTGGATCGCGTTCGGTAGCATAGAGTTCTCGATGATTGCTGTCTAACAGCCTGCCTAGCAGTCCTCTAGCTTTTGCTGCCTTTTCTGAGATCGCTTTGTCTGTTCCGTCAACAGACTCGGGCTTGGACACTATGTCCCAATAGCCTTTTTCTGCAAGGATATCGGTGACGGCTAGCTTCCATTCGCGATATTCGGTACCACGGGAAAGTGGTTGGATTCCCATTCCTGTAAGGAGCTTGTGTTCGATTGGCGTTGTTGGCATTTCGTTTCCTGGAAACGTTCGCTCGTGGTTACTTGTTTCTGAGTCGTAGAGCCCCGGGCTCATAACCTTTTGTACG